GGTACCTTTCGGAGGAAGCAGGCGACCACCTGCTCGAAGGGGTACTGGAACACCTGGTGAACGTCCACGGTGACCCCCATGTCGCGCACCCTCCTCCAGGCGCCTCGCCGAGCTCTGGCCACACCCCGTAGCCAAAGGGGCGTGCACTTTCTCTCCCCTTTTCAAACTTCTCAAACTTTATTGTCCCCCTCGGAGACAAGGCTACAGGTCACACCCACGTTCCCTTTCCCTTGTGCCTTATAAAGATATCACCGGAGACGCCCCAGACCCCAGCGGCCGGAAATCAAGCTCAGTCCACGTCCCCACCCTGGCCACGCCTGCCCTGCCTCTGAGCCACCCGGTTATACCCTACAACCCTGCTCTTTGCAGCCAGAATTTTAAGCCATCATTGCCGGAGGTCACAGTTTTATCCTTTGTTGACAGAACCAAAAAGAAACAAGGTGTAATAAGTAGGAGAGCCTCCGCCCTGAAACCGTGGGTGTGTGTAGTGTGACAGCCCTGCACAGATAAGTCCAGCGACACAAAGGCCAGCCGCTGCACACTTCGCTAATCTGGATGGCTGCCTGAGGGGTGGGGCTGGGCCTCTGCCTAGGAGGAAACTGCCCTTCTCCCAGAACCATCTAGGAATAGAGTTGACCTCTGTATCCAGCTCTAGGAAGTTCCTTGGCTAAGGTTAAGTAAGCACCAGCCAGCAAAAGCACCAGCCAGCAAGAAAAGGGATACAGAAGAAATGTTTTCTTTCCTCCAAAGAGCAGTTGTTACTAGAAGCAAATGTTACATTTATTCACTAAGCTATTCACCTGTTTCTGCACACGGGTTGTGTAGAACTGTCGACTGCAGACGCAGCGAATTCAAACCGTCCCTGCTGCTGGGTAAAATGAAGGAGGCGTGGGCTGACACCCATTCAATAATGTAGGCAAATAAAGTCCCAGGGCCTAAGACATGTTGGTGCTAGGTTGAACAGGAACATTCCCGGAGGTGTTGACATCCACATTTGCCTGGTCTATTCGGGGTCACTCTGGGAGACAAACCCTGTTATCTGAACCCAAAACCATCCACCTCAAGGAGCCTTGGTTTTTCTTCCATCCCCCCATTTCTTACTTTTTTTTTTTTATTTTTATTTTGTGTGTATGTGTGTTGTTGTTGTTGTTGTTTTTTTCTCCCCACCCCAGATTTTTTTTTTTTAAGAGAGAAGGGTCTCACATAACCTTGCTGTGTTAGTAGATTAAAATGAATCCCTGGTCCTCCTGCCTCCACCTCCACAGGCTATGCTTACAGATATACACCGGCATACTCAACTTTTTATGTGGTTCTGGGGATCTGGCTCAGGGCAAGTACTCTTCCAACTATGTTATATGCCTTAAGCCCCTCCAAGGGGCCTTTGAATGGTGTCAGGCCAATGCTCTATCAATAAACAAAACATCTCCAATCTATGCGCTCTCTCGCCTCCCTTCATCTCAGACCACCATCTCCTCCTTTCCCTACCCAGTTCCCAGGCCATAACCTGGATGTCCTCCTCATAAATAAAGGAGGAGATGGTGGTCTGAGATGAAGGGAGGCAAGACAACTGTGTAGCTTGATCTTCTTAAGGGCCCCCCTGGCAGTCGGGTCAGGATCCATCCCTGGTGCAGGAGCTGGCTTTTTGGGAGCCCACTACCTATGGTGAGACACCTTGCCCAGCCTTAATGCAGGGGGAGGGGCTTGGACTTTCCTCAACTGAATGTTCCAGGCTCTGCTGACTCCCCATGAGAGGCCTTACCTTGTGGGAAGAGGGAATGGGGGGGGGAGTTGGGGGGAAGGCTGAGAGACAGGAGGAGGGAAAGAGAGAGAGATCTGTGTTTGGTGTGTAAAATGAAAATAAAAGTGATGCCTCTTGAACATTTACTACCCTTTAGAATATAATTTCTTAGCCAGGCGTTGGTGGTGTATACATTTAATCCTAGCACACAAGAGGCAGAGCCAGGTAGATCTCTGAGTTCAAGACCAGCCTGGTCTACTGAGTGAGTTTCAGGAAAGTCAGAGTTACAAAGAGAAACCCTGTCTCAAAAACAAACAAACAAACATTATATATATATATATAATTTCTTAATTATAACTGCAAAATAATGGATATTTAGTAATAGCAGCCAGCCCCAACGCATCACTAAAGTCTCCTACCTTCTTTCCTACTTGAGGGCATCCCTCTAGCAAGGGTCCTTTCCTGTATCATCAGCATCCACACCTACAAGATCATTACAAGCAGCACACAAAAACACTATGATTTCTTCCACCCTAAAACAAAACAAGAAAGCACCGTTCACTCCCTGGATCCCTCCAGACAGCTCCACTCCAATTTTACTCCTTGGGAGAGAGAAGCTTGTAATGTCCTGAACCATTCTCATAGCATTGCCCTCCACCATTCCATTCAAACTACAATTGTCACATTCCCAGTGACAAAACTGCTAAGTTCCATCATTAATTCGCTGTGGTCTATGTCTTAATTCAAAACAATTCCTTTGTACTCCAGTTGAATATCTTGCATAACAAGGATGTGGTCATTATTTTTCTTTTAATTTTTA